CCGCCAACTGTATTTATAAATTTACGTGTACCTGCCAAAGCAGCTACATCGGCCGAACTGAAAGGAGAGCATATCTTAGATTCTGTAAACATGTTCCAAAAAGTCTTAGAACAAGGGAAAGAAAAACTCTGAACAGTGCAATCACCAAACATCTCCTTGATACAGGACATCAGGTAGATACTTTACAATCCTTTAGGGTGATTAGTAAGCAGCCAAACTCCAGTCTTCTGAAGTTTGCTGAAGCCATTGCAATCAGGCGTCAAAAACCTGACCTATGTAATCACAATTGATTGATCACTGGGTGGTGATCAATGTCATGCTTGTCCAGTCCTTATTAGTGCAGATCGAATACTATCGATCATGTTGCAATGTGGCCACCAGTCTAGGTGACTCGACACTACGGGCACTATGTATGGAGATTTAGATGGTGGTTGGAGGTAGTCAACAGAAAACCCTGGAGCCGGGTTTCGTGCTACTTGGCACTCGTCAGCAAGGTGTACCTGTAATCTTGAGGGAACTGGTGCTCCCTGGCGGATTCTATCTCGTGTCACAGTGTCTCGTGCCCGCAGTGTCGAGTCACCTAGACTGGTGGCCACATTGCAACATGATCGATAGCATTCGATCTGCACTAATAAGGACTAGACAAGCATGACATTGATCACCACCCAGTGATCAATCAATTGTGATTACATCTCAGTCCTACAAGAGGTTAGTTACGGCTCGGATAGCTCAGTGGTAACGTCTCTGACTGTGAAGCTGGGTGACACGAGATCAAATCCGCCAGGGAGCACCGGTTCCCTCGAGATTACAGGCACACCTTGCTGACGAGTGCCAAGTAGCACGAAACCCGGGTTCAGGGTTTCCTGTTGACTACCTCCAACCACCATCTAAACCTGACCTATGTATTCAAAAGGAGACGGTGGTTAATCTTTCCTTGCCCTGGTGACAAATATTCCTTCACTGCACCATAAAACTTTATTTTTTTTCTTTTTTCTTTTGCACTTATTACATCATTGACTCTATTTTATTTTCTCAATTATCTTTCAAATTATTAATCTTTCAATTGAACTCTACTCACTACATTCCTTCAATGTTATTCATTATGTAATCGATTGTTTCTAACCCACTTTTGATCTGTTGTCACAATTAATGTTGTAGAATATTCTTTCACATTAGGTATATATTTACAATATTCAGTAAGCAATTTAAACCCATTATGTAATTATGATTTTTAAATATCACAGGTTGTAAGCAGCTGACGAGAACCTACGAAATAAAATGAATTCATGCTATTCTGCTAGAATCTTTGTTCTTGCTCTTTTCAATCTAGACAACAATGTCAGAACTAACTTCACATAGAATTGGTCTTTTTGACTAATTCTTAAGCTCTAAATCCGCTTGTCCTGGTGATCTTATCATGGAATGGTTATATTCGGAGGTGTCTTCAACTTTATTTGTCTTTACCTTTACTTTAATCTTTTTTTAGTTGACCTTTGGTTACATGATTGATTGATTTCTTCCATACAGATTGGTAAATATAATTTATACTAATATGACTACTGGTTGCAAATTGATCTAAATCCTATACTTTCAAACATTTTCTGGCATTCTTTGAATTTTCCTTGATTTGAAATTTATGTCTGTGGTCACCTTTGTGCACTGATCTGAGCAATAACATGTTATGTTACCCTGTAGCTAGTTTATGTTCTTGTATACATAGGTGATTGGATATCCACCTTGTACAATACAACGTTTTCTGCAATTAGTGTAATACCTTTTGTAGATGATATTTTTATTTGATATTGAACACTGAAAGGATGTTGTATTTTTGTTTTATACTCAATGGACATAACATTACTTTAATAGTAAGAGTAATAACATCAGTAATTATCGTCATGACATTGTTTCTTTCTCTTTGAACATTCAATGATAACAAACATATTAGTTTTACTGAATACACTCCCTGTATTCGTGAACAGCTTAGTAATGTTGCTGATTATATAACCCTTAGTAGTGAGTGGGTGGTAGCGATTTATGAAATTTTTGTTCAGTCTTACTTTGTAATAAATAGTCACATTTCTGCTAACAGTCGTGTCAAGGTACTGATTAATGCAATTTTAAGTCCAAAATTTAAATGTAAGCCATGTAGGTCTTTAGTTTGATCTCCGAAGGAGTCGTTAGGGCATACTAATTAAGTACTGTATACGAAAAAACTTTTGAATGCTTCTTCATACAACTGGTGATGATAAACATTATCAAAAGCTAATGAATTCAAAGTCACTCAACAACTAATCTTTTTACATTAAAGTTGCGTTCTTTTCTGTATTGAATATCATCCACAAATTATTGATTTTTTCATGAGAGTACATCCAGATGACCCTGAAAAATTGTTTTTTTTTGTTGCTGTTTCACATTATTTAATTATGAGCTTGTTTCATTTTATAACGATAGATCATAGCATTAATAAAGACTTTGTTGATGTAGACAAAATGTCCTTATTAAGGTCAAAACAATTTGTTTGATCAGCTGATCCAGAGATGGAAATCGAACAAAATAATTTCATATCACTCAAACTTTTAATGATAAAAATGATCTCGAAGAAATAAATTAAAATTCAAACGAAACTTCATGTCATCACAAATGTACTAAAAGAACAAACTATAATGGATAGAACTTAAGTTCATCCACCATAATGTGATTGGACAATTCAACTAGAGATCTATCTTATCTATATGAAATTCTACTGTTCTATGAGCCATATTAATGTTTGATTAAATGACAAACTGTTTAAACTTATTTCCATATCTTGTTAAACAAGAAAATCTTGAGTTATCACTCACTATCTGAAATGAAGTTACGTACTGAGTCAGTAGAGCAGGTAAGAGCATTATTCATGGAAGACTTATCATAATACCATTGAATTTGATTGGTTATTGCTTTCTAAGAATTTGATTGGTGGATTATAATCAAAGCTGGATGAAATTTTGTATGAATTATTAATTTTCGCTATCTGATTGTTATCAGAATGGGTTTTGTGGAAATTTTTTAGAAATTTCACTGGTTGAAATCATGAGTCAATTGAAGCTAGACCATCATGGAAAACGTGGAAGCACTGGACGGACGTTTCTTCCTAGCATGGGACTCCTCGGCAGTGCGCACCCACGATCCCTCCCTCCTCGAGCTTCGAACCCAGGGCCTATCAGTCTCATACTAGGACGAAACGGCCGTCCAGTGCTTCCAGGTTTTCCATGGTGGTCTAGCTTCAATTGACTCATGATTTCAACCTATCTGATTGTTATTTAGTTTGTACTTTTTCAAACACGATCGTTTTAATTGGGGAAATATTCAAGCTAAATAAAAAAATTTCTAATATTTAAGTTAAAATCATAGTCAAAAGTATGTATTTGTAATTTAGAAAACAACAGTCTTTCATGTCATTCCATTATTTATGAAAACTTCTTTTAAAGATACATCCTGAGAATATTTTCACTTTATATAATCAGTTTTGTAGACAATAGTGAATTAAATCACTTTTATTACAGGATCCTTGTTTATTCAATGAAGTGATGTAAAATGACAACCAATTCATTGTTTATTTTTATGATCAGTTAAATAGTTTGTTAAGATAGCTTCCCTAAAAATGATACGATTCTAATTAACCTTTAGGAGTCCTCATCAATAAAAACCTTTGAATCTTTTAAGTGACACTTACTATGTTTAAAAGTACTGGTCTAGATTTTCAACTTCCATGGACTCCCGATATAGGGTAAACATCATTTACGATCAGCAGTAGGTATGTGGCCTAATTGTTAACTTGGTAATGTTTTCCCATACGAATAAACTTATATACATTAGTAATGGTCATAGAATTATATTTTTGTAAAATTTGTAAATAATATTAAGAAAGTAATATTGATCATGAAATAAATTTGATCGCTGAAGGATTCCCATTATATTGTGTTTTAAATAAATTTGACCGAGAAACAGTTAAAAACAATAAAGAACTTTGTGTGAACAGAGAAACAAGAAGCCTTGACAAACTACGGAAGCTATTTTTGGGGACGTTATTTCATTTCATTCAAAGCTTTTAAAATATTAATATCTATTTTTGTCTCTAATCTATTCCACAGAACATAAGCTTTCGTTTGATGTATGATTCACTACTATAGCCCTTTTTGTTCCAAAGCTATTGTAATTTAGACGTATTATTTTGTACTCTATTTTCTACGGTAATCTCCAGTTTTGGACATATTTGTATTTTCCTAATTATTGTACGTTGTGGTCGGGTTAGTTATCCATGAATTCATGTTTCTTTTCACACTGATCTGAAATCGGGAGCCAGATCGGAATTGAGAATAAAATCGAGTAGTGTTCCAGTTGACTTGTCTTCTCTCACTTGCGTGTTTGTCAGACAATCAAGTGATAGAATAGTTTTCTTCTCTCTACTCCACTTCGAACTCACGCATACTAGCCTCAAGGTTAAACCGGTCAGCCTATCGCATCAAGGTCTTGATCTAGATTAGACAAGTACCCCCAGCACCAAAAGTGGGTAGACAGATCAAGGATGTAACATGCTGAATAACTCTTTCTTTGTAGTATATCAATACTTAGCAGTTTACTATCGAGTAAAGGGTATGTTCAATTAAAGAGACGAGAATAAGAAATGAACTAACTATCAGATATTCAAATGATCAGTAATCGATAACTACTTCAACGGCTGTCACATGTCTTGAATAAACTGATTTCAAACAGTGATTGGTTTGTGAGCCAGGATTGCAAAGGAAGTTCATAATTGGAAGAAATAGCTTTCTAGCACCTTCTGGTTTCCAAATTCACTAATATCTACAACACCCTAAAATATCAATATTCATTTAGCGGTCTCATAGGACTGTTTACAATTACACTGTTCATGTTATACAATCAAAATAAATATCATCATAAAAATTTGATAACCGGTAAAAGTAAATATTGTAATCAGTTAAATTCATTGCTTCACTTACCTCTTCTTGTATTCGATCAATTTTATTAAGATTTTGTTTCAAACCAACATAATAACGTCTCATTTCTCGTTTAAAATCAGTTTCAATACAAGAATTTTTTCCAGTTACATGTGTGCTATTCTCACTTCTTTTCATTTTGTTTACATTGTGATTCTGTATTCTTGTCCAATATCTAATTTCATAATTTGCATCAATGGCATTTTTATTTTCATAATTTCCAACATTTATACTCTCTTGTTTCAATGATTTTTCTGATGTACCACTAGTCATTTTGTGTGAAATCGAAAAAAAAAAACCCGCTAGTTATCACAATTTAAACTATTCAGCTCTTTTATCCAAATAATACCTTATCACGTGTGTTTTGTTTAAAATACCCAATGACTTGATAAATAAAGTACTATTATCATATATATTCTACATACTGTATGAGCTTAAATGAAACACCGAAAAAATAATCTTCATCAAAAAAGATAATCTACTTATGAGTAGTTAATCGCATTACACTTAATATTAGTAGCTTTAATAGGAATTCTAAGAGATGATATTGAGATGGCATTATTAGAGTTATATTTTCATTATTCCCTCCCAATGATGTCCCTCAATGTTCTAGTTGAAATTAAAATGTATTTCAATTCCCAAAAAATATTTAAAATCCTCAAACTCTTCTTATACTTGTCTTCAATTCTTGTAATCTATTATTTGTCTTCAGCCTCTTATTTTATATGCTGATTACCATGCATTGGTTATTTCTAATTGAGTTTGAGATAGCGGGGAATATTCGTAGTACATTAGAAAGAATTAAGTTACTTTTTATTTAGCGCTAAATGATCTAACCATGAAGTCTTGGTTGTATTATCATGCAACATCTTCTGAAAAGACTTCTCGTAATTTTAAGAAGAGATGATGATCACTTACTACCTTTCAATAATGTATCATTATAACACCTTTAAAGACAGTGATAGATTCATGACTAAACATTCTAGTAAGACCTCAAAACTTGTTTTTTATGATAAAAATCCTTATATATGCTCTCCATAAATTTACTACGAACTTGGAATCAAAATTCTTCGTAATGACTTTGCTTCTCCTTTACTTTTTGATATGGTCATTTATTCTTTTACAAAATCCCAATAAGATTATATTTTTTTAATGAGCTTTGTCACATTCCTATCTTTTAGGAGAGAGCAAAGTTCTTTTTTAAAATCAGCAAGTCTTTTCTTCTTGTGTTACTTAGGCTGAATCATGAACATCTGTAATTTAGTAATTGTATACAATTTTCATACGTATACTAGGACGAAACTGCCGTCCAGTGCTTCCAGGTTTTCCATGGTGGTCTAGCTTCAATTGACTCATGATTTCAACTAGTGAAATTTCTAAAAATCTCCACAAAACCCATTCTGATAACATACTAGGAGTGCAAAATATCTAAATCAACACTTCCTAAGTGCAGAATATTTCACTCATCTTATTTAAAGAACAGAGAAATAATGAAATATTTTACCTATCAATTCTTAATATTTATTACGATCTTTTCATTTACCATCTTATTCTTTTCATCTTACTTTTTACTGTAAGAAAATGTCATTTTGAATGTCACTACTGTTAATCTACTGTATTACTTTATTAACTTCATTCTTCTTGAGTCATATTTTAATCTTGTCAATTATTCGCTTATCAATCTTGACTGCTTTTATGTAAGCGCATATACGTGCTCTTCTTATCCTATTCATCACATGTTTGTAACTTATTTGTATCTGGCTATAAATCTTGATTAGCGCTTGATTAAATGGAGTTGGCTTACATGCCTTCTTCAGTGCGTGTTATTTCGCTTTGCTTTGTTCTCTTCACTTTTGCGATCTTGTCTGAATCAACAATAATGTGAAATATATATATTCAAAATTCACTCTCGTGGATCAAGTCATTAACTATATACCAGGATAGAGGACATGTTTACTTCAATAATATTCATACAATTTAATTGGAGTCAGATATAGGGCCACTAAAAGAGTTTTACATTTAAATGACCATTCATTAGCCTGAACATTAAAAGTATTTTTGATTATTATGATCCTTGAGAAAACTCTCTTTTTCCATTATTCAATCAAATCTTGAATATAATTGCGACAAATTATTTATAGAGAATTATTGACAATACATAATCAGTTCAAATAATTGTGTTCATGTTTAATATAGATAACCTTGTAAAGATAAGTTTTATTTAGTTAATTCACTATATTTTCCTTAACAATATAATTGATATTACTGTAAGTAACATTGAACTGCTACAACCATCATCAAGAAGGTACAAGTATTTATAAATAGTTGTTTACGCAAGATACTAAACATCCATTAGCCGGATACCATCAGCAACAGCCTACTGTAGGAGAGAACAAACCAGATCCCAGCTGAAGAAAAAATTAAGAAAAGACGATGGAAATGGATAGGACATACATTGAGGAAAGCACCAAACTATATCACGACACAAGCCCTAACTTGGAATCCTGAAGGGAAGCGGAAAAGAGGAAGGTCAAAGAACACATTACGTCGGGAAATAGGAGCAGATATGAAAATGATGAATAACAACTGGAAAGAGCTGGAGAGGGTTGTCCAGGACAGGGTTGGATGGAGAGTACTGGTGGGTGGCTTATGCTCCTTCATGAGGAGTAACAGGTGTAAGTAAGTAAGTAACATTAGAAAGAAAAAAGTAATGTGGATAAAAAAGATGAAATCTACTTTTGGTTAAGCTGGGCACTGTAAGTAGGTTGTTATGCTTATTTGAGAAATTTTTACTGTTTTGGATAACATAATCATTGCTTACTTCAAGTAGACATAAATTATCCTGTTCAAAATATTTTAATATTATCAAACAAGAATATGGATAGAAATCTGTCACAATACAATGATGTATAGGTTGAAATGGAATTATTAACAGCTACTTATTCTCTTAACTCATGAGATAAGTGCGTTAATTTTAACTGATATGTTTGTATTATGGTTCAATAGTTTACTGCTTGAACCTTAGTTGATCCCTAAAATATATTAAATTATATAAAAGAAAATAGTAAGATCCTAAAGTTAATAGCTGTAGGACCAAGCTATGACTAAAGTATTGATATTACGTAATATATCTTCTTTTGTCAACTGTTTATTTAATCAGTATGAGATTGTGGAAATTGTTGAATTTCATGGAAATTATGAACTGATCTATGTTAGATCACTTTTGAGAATGTAATAACATTGGACAGCTGTTAATTACTGAAGATGATATCGGAAGATGGTCGCACAGATTCGTAAACTGATTGAAATTAAACATTTATTAGTTCTACAATATAATTATAATATAGAGATAAGTTAATCAAAGCCAAAACAATAGGGCTCATTTTTTGAGGTAAATTTAAAAGGGGATGAGATTTATTTTATATATTAGTATAAGTATCTTTATTATAGTCCTTACAAAATTCATTTTCTACTACCATAGAATGATAGTAATAGTGTACAGCACACATGAAATAGAAAACTTACCTCTTTTTATGTAAATTATATATAACACATAAATTAATCAATCAGTTCATCTCTAATTTACTCAATTTATAGTAAACCCTTAGAGATATTACTTCTTTTCTAATGAATAATTTACAGAAAAGAAAAATGAGCTATTAACTTCAGTCAGTAACAACGTAGAACTTCGTACGTACGTACATCAGTTCGAGTTGCCATACCACATTAGCACAGAGATGCAGTTGTCGATCCAAATCCCATGGTGGTAGAAGTAGTAAAAGTATAAGCAGTAATCGGAAGCATTAAGATTTGAAGATGTTATTCATGGAGTATAATCCAGTGAAATAAATTTGAAAAGAGAAAAAACAAGAGACATGAAGATAACAACAACAACTCATAATTGTTAATTATGTAGTTAGTTTATTCACTAAAAAGTTACTGTTCATAATAAAATAAGAAATTTCATTTAAAATCATTAGAAAATTAGATATATTCTCAATATTCATCTTTTGATTCTTACCTAACTATTATACTACTGACTATTCATCAAAATATTTTGTTAGTTCCTTAATCTTTTATTATACAATATAGCAACTGTTTGAGTTTTGAATAATTGAATTTATGAGTCAATTAAGATTAGATCCTGTAGGATGGGATCGTAGATGCACATGATTGAGGAGTCCCATACTAGGACGAAACAATCATCTAATACTTCCAGATTTTCCAATAGTGATCTAGCCTCATGAATTTAATTATTAAATAATAAAACAGAAAATCTCCACAAAACCTCCTTCTAATAATTACTTTGATTATTATTACTATTGATCCTCTTTCTTCCAATTACTTAATATTAGTTTATAATTGATATGTCATTATATAATTATTAGATAAATTAAATTATTCTTTTATCATCATATTACTTCATAGTGAATTATTCTCAATTCTCTTGTTTCATTATATTCTATAAACGATTCATAGGATATATATATATATATATATAATAAACAATAAACTGTATTTTCTATTATCAATTCACTAATCATAGTATGGTGCGTGCTACTTAGTTTGATATAAGTAGTATATAGCGCGAGTCAGGAATGTAATGTCAGGCAGCAGAAGATGGCGGAAGATCAAGAAAAGAAGAGCGGAAATGGAAAGCAATTAGTGTGGAAATGCAAGAACAATGAAGTCCGAGACAATTATTGAACATTTTGCAAATTAAGTATTATAGTATGATTTTTCTATTTTACGCAGTAACTGTAATTTTGTTCTAAATACAATTCGATTGTTCCCACTCGTGTTCTGTTCACTACAATAGCTATCAGTTATAATCATATATCTGATAACCAATGTAATTGTTTGTTCTCTTTACTTGCTACGTTTAAGTGGTTTGAATAATTTTTTTCTGGCCAGCGTTTTTATTTTAATGAGTTAGTTTTCTACGGGATAGGGTCACTAACCCCATGCCCTACCCTCCTCCTTTATCCGGGCTTGGAACCAGCAGTAGTCCCAGAGGGGTTTCAGTCGGAGTTATTTTTTTTCTGTTTAAGAATAAATAAATAAATTAAGCAACACAGAATATTTTTTCAACGGTATAATAAAATGTAATTGAAATAAAATTACATTAATATTACAATGAATATACTACTCATCTGAATCCATGTTAACCTTTTTTTTGTTTGTCACTTTTTTAGAAAGAAAAATATACCCATTGAATCATCATATAGTATTTCATGCATATATATATATTTTTTTGTATTATTTGATAATTG